GTTCGTGGAATGGAAGTTGATGTAGCGCTCCGGAAAGCGATGCAGTACTTTTTCCTACCGAAAGAAGCGGAAAAAATAGACAAAATTATTCAAGTAGGCCTATTATCTGATTTACTTACTGTGCAGAAAGGAGTTAGGAGTTTCCCCACTTTATTTTGTGTATCCATTCAGGAATTCGCCCAGCACTACGCCAAGTGCAATCCGAAGCGAACGAAGCAATTCAGAGGAGGCTGGGACACGATTCATATGATCGCCTTCGCAGTCATTATGTTGAACACGGACTTACATTCACCCAATCTCAAGGTGAGTTTTGGTCTGTCGTTCTATAGTGCTCTAGCATGCGGTGTTTTCTCATCTATCGCTATAAGAGTCCCTTTAAGGCGTCGCAGCGGATGCAAATGGATCAATTTATTCACAACCTCCGTGGTCAGGACAAGATGCGTGGTGAGAAAGAAGGCATCGATATTGATAGGTAAGGGTCTACCGTTGCACGCCGGTTGGCATCCCGATGTGATTTTGTTACAGAGCTTGTCTACAAGGTATTTACGAACGTGTACGAAGCGAAGAAATCCGACCTGGTGAAGATCATGTCGCACAAGTGGCGCGTGTTGATGCTGCGATTGTCGCCCGTGAAAAACCCGTTGGTTCCATTTGCCTTATTTTTTGTTCCTTTATGGTTGGCGCTCAATAGCCGTTAACCTTGTTTTCATTTGCTTTGGTTTTCCTTACGAATTCTTGAGCGAATGATCTCATTCAGTTGTTTTCTTTGTTGAGGAAGGAGTCTTTTGGACATGACTGCTTACAGTGGCTTATTCTAAACATTCAAGAAGTGATCTAAAATAGTAGTGCCCAGTGTTTTGATAAATATAATAAGTAGATAAAAAATAAAAACCCCTTGTGAATTCTTTTTATTTCGGGAAAAGCTACTTCAGCTTTTGTTTATTGTTATGTTTGATGTGAGTTTCCCCCAAAAGTTTCAACATGCATAACGCCAAGCACTAACAATTCGACAAGAAATTGTAACGCAAAATAAATCAAATGACGTGTTATCTACAAATTTTTCATTCCTTTTGCTTTTCATTGTAAGAGGATCTTCTCTTGTCCAATTTTGGCGATAATTCAGAGTCCTTTCACCGTTACTGGTTAAGGAAGGCATTAGTAGGTTATGGATCTTATTTCAGCGATTAACTGAAACCCAACGACGTCTGGTATGCTACTGTCGGTTACAACAGGTGATGGATCCCTCGCGAAAGCAGTCCATAGGATCTCATGAACGAGATGTGTTCCTGTTCAACGATATGTTGGTGGTCAGTGCTTTATTACTCACTTTTGCCGCTCAGCCATTTCAAAAGTTCATACTTTGAAGGTTGCTAAAGCTATCAACAAACGTCGATCCTCTGCTCATACCTCGTATACCCTCAAACATTGGATGCCTTTGTTAGGAGCGTCTGTGCTCGAGTTTAAGGTTGGTTCTTTCTTTGATTGACAATCATCCAAATTGATGTCTTTGCCTTTTACCTTTTTTGGAACTCGAATGAGTGTCCCATTTCCATTTTGTGTACTATACGATATAAGCCTGCTATTTATATCAACTTTCCCTTTTTTGATGTGTTCATGGCCGTTCCTGGATCAGATAGATCTAGGTTGCTTTTCATTTTGTAGAACAGTTTTACATATCTATCTGGTCATGAATCACCCATAGAGCTTGATCCTTTGTTGCTCATTTTGCATCTGTCCGAACGCATTTGTCAACAACTGTTGGTCTGTGATTTGACGTATTCGATCTTCGCGATCGTTGGATCCTTGACTTATCCGCCGCCTTGCTCTTGTGTCTCTGCGGTGTGAACTTGGGTTTACAGTTTGAGACCGTGTGCCAGCAATGAAAATCAAATCCCAATTGGGAAAGATTTCTATTATCCATCTTCGTTCTTTTTAAAGGAGCTTTGTAAGCTGACATGAATACCCCTTTGTATTATCGGACGTTATCCTTTTACGAGGCTGGGAACATCAGTCAGCAGCAATTCTCTTGCGTGGACCATGTTTTCACGATGAAATGCATTCAGAGGGCGGTGCTCTACTTTGAGGAAGTGACGACGGTGTGTGAATGGGCACTCAACAGTCGCCGCGGAGAGTACTTCTTTGAAATTATGTGAAGTGATGAAGACCGTCTAATCACTGCGGAGAATCAGAGTCCACATGTAAACTTTTAGGGTATTGCTCAGCATGCGCTAGGATGGATGACGTCTTAAAATCTCTTCAAGCCTCTTCGGTTTTGACACTGAATTGATAAGAAAGATTGACCTCGGACAAGAGGCTGTACTTGGAGAAGTCGTTGAAGCGTTTGTCTGGGCGCAAGCATTTCCCAGCGACAACAACGCGATGAGCTTTGCATGTCGCTTGGAAATCCAGGGCACTTTGATCAATTCAAATTATTCAGCACTTATATTATTCGGTGGAACTTTTTAAGAACAAAGCAGTTTCTCCCGTTATTTTTTCCACCATAACGGATATCTGTTATCTCAGGAGCAGTGGTCATCTTCGAACGCTGTGACGACAGCAACTATCATAAACGCTCGCCCTCGGCAAAAGATTGTCATTAGATCTTTAGTCGCTCGATGGTTCCATGGCTGAAGGGCTAGCTGCGTTGAAGGATCTCGAGACAAGCATTGGCTGCAGAGAAATTTGCAGAATTGGAGGTGGTCCACCAGGGGTTGGTAGTTGGTTCACAGACCATTGTAGCTGACCTCAATGCAGCAGCGTTGAGCACTCACAATGGGTCGAGAAGAGCGACAACATCTTAAAAGGCAATGTTCTCGCTCTATGTGGAGCTTGATTCTCTCTGTTTTCTTTACTCTGTTTTCTTTTTACCTAACAATGAAATGAGCTGCGAAGCTCATCCATCCCTTTTCCCCATCCCCTCACCTCTCATTCCAGTCAGTTGCACTCGCTCCATTCTGAAATGAACACCTCGAGGCTGATGTACAAATATCATATATTAAGTTGTTCAAGGCGCATCTGGAAAGTGATAAGCGAAGATAACCCAGGCGCTACCACTGGGTTTTTGATACACATATTGTATCAAAAATTGACAGCAAATTTCGACTGACGAAAATGAAGAATTGCGAATTAAACTATGGTGTTCCGATTAGGTAATAGTGTTTATTAGAGGAGGCACTCCTAGGTTGGTTACTTAAGTTGTTTATCACATGTTATTTTCCAACACGTTGATTTGATTCATGGGTGTGGTGTGATGAATCGGCGGCAAACCTAATGCGCAGGTGATCAGAAAGTAGTCATAACCGTTAACGATCGATTGTAAAATGTCCATCAATATCGGCCTTGTCCTCATATGGTTGGAAATGCTGGCCATTAGTGCTGGTCTCCCGCAGAAAGGGCCCTGGATAAGATTGAACCAGAAGTGAGAAGAGGCGTTATTTCACTTAATATAGTTATGAAATGGACTCTTAGCCTAAGGCGATGTAAGCCCTGTAAAGTTGTAGGGCAGGCTTCGCTGCATCATCTGTTGCTGGTTTTACTCGCCGTTATCACAAGAAATTCGGTGATATCGGATGATTCGCTATGATATTGAACTTTTCGGCGATGAAGTTTTGCTTTTGACCCGATTGACTGCGTGTTGATGAGGATCACGTGGAGGCCAAGAACGTTGTCGTGGTTGAGATTAGTAAAAGTAGCAAACTGCGCTTCCAGCGCCCTTTCTACTTATCATGAGCAAGGGAATGGGAACAACCTTAGCGACCATTTCAGCGATTTCTTCCCAATTCCGGAACAACTGCCACTGAACTATCACGAATTATGCTTACATTTTCGTCGACGTGATCACGAATTATGCTTATAGTTTCGTCGACGTGAAGAATGATCAAGAATTTTAGCCAAAAGTAGTTTTAGGCAGGAGTTCCTTACGTTCCTTGTGTTTTCAGAGAGGATCCTACGAGTACGGTTTATCGATCACACCACCCGCACCCGATAATCAAACCATCTATTTCAATGCGAGGAATTACGATGATCGGTATGCTTTTATATTGAAATGAATGCTGTTCTCCTTCTAGTATATAATTCGCTAGGTGTGCCTGTTGGTTGTCGGTGTGTCTGTGCTTGTGTGTGTGTGTCGGTAAGTGGGGGGACGCACAATTCGTGCGATTCTGGGTCGCGCGGCAAACTGCGCGGTGGAATTCATGATGATTCGAACGACTCTGATGCCTACTATTGGAGCACAAACTTGAAGTAGAGTGGATTTGTAGGATCAGCTGACCATACCCAGCTATTCTACTTCAAGTTTGTGCTCCAATAATAGGCGTCAGAATCGTTCGAATCTTCACGAATTCCGCCGCGCAGTTTGCCGCGCGACCCAGAATCGCACGAATCGGCACACACCCCGGTAAGTGTGTTTGACCGTAAATTCATAACTCCTGCTCGCGTGGACTTAGAGCGTTCAAACTTAGTAGGAGTACAGGTGGCAGGATGGGAACACTAATGGCAGGTAGCAGGAAGACCTCCGCCCACAGGAGGCGGGGCGTGTATGATAGAATTTGTCGACCGCAAATTCGTAACTCCTGTTCCCTAGACCCATAACGTAGAAGATCGGTAGGAGTACAGGCGACAGGATGGGAACGCTTATGACGGTAAAAGGACCAGACTCCGCCCACAGGGGTCGGGGCGTGCTCGATAGAAAATTTTCGATCGCAAAATCATAACTCCTTTCCCGTGGACCTAGAGCGTTGCAATTTAGTAGGGGTACAGGCGACAGGATGGAAACACTGATGATGTGTGATAGGAGGTGATAACAATTGAGAAGAGTTGATAAAGAGCCTTTAAAGGCGAGAACGGCAGGATCCGTTACCTCTTTCGTGTAAACGGTGGAGGTGGCACTTTAGCACTCTGCATTACCTTAACACAAATCTAGTCCTTTTTCTTTTTCAGATGTCGTTTCGTGGCAGATGTACTGGAATCGATTCGGGAGTCGTGTCAAATGGAAGAGGTTCGGCTTGAACTGGAAATGGAGAAACACACACTTCGTACCGACAACCAAAGGGACAGCGGTTTGCCGGAAATTGACGGGTCAGACTGCCTTCTGTCGCGGCCAGTGAACGCGATCCTCGGTGGCGCTAGCTTGGTGCCTACATTTCGTCGGCTCTCGTTCAATAGCCTCGATTCCGGAGTAGTCGAAGAGACTTGCGAGAGCAATGCGTGATTCTTCGTGCAGAATCGAATGGATTTGATGCTATGATCTCGCCAGCGGTTTTACACGGAGGGAAAAATTCGTCGTGCTTTCGGTTCGGTCATGTACAGTGATGTGCCTCCTCTGGTACTCCATAGTGATTCTACGTGTGATTGCTCATTTCGTTACTTTTTATCAGTCGTTAGTCAATCGGTGCTGTGTTGCTGATCTATGTGCTCAAATGTTGACTGGGACAGAAACCTCGTGTCCACTTACTACTTTTCCGTTCTATTTTAAACGCAAATTGACCAAATCAGATTTGCCTCATTACGGTGTGTCTTGGACCCTCTTAGTCGTCGACCGTGTCGCCCCTCAACCCACGTCTTTTCACCGTCATCGTGTTCAATTGGTTTGTTCGTTCACCTTTTGCCTGATGAGTTTCGCACGTTTCACTTGCATCTAGCTCATTACGAGGTATACTCGGAGATTATTCACAGTTGTTTTCACTTGATCCCCACGTTTCCAGATTCCATAAGAAACTGATATCTATATTCACTTTATACGAATTGTATTACTATTTATATGTTGTGCAGCATTGTACTAGTTAGCGTCGTTAACGTGCGAGAGGGTCCGTCCATTCGGATCTTCATATGTGTCAATGTGCCAGTAATATTACTCATTCGAAACTTGCCATTTCTATCGTAAACTATGGAAAGTTCTCCCTGACCGTGTACATTTCTAAGTCATATTTACTGCTACTCTACGTCTGCAGTTTTAAATCGTGTGAATATAAATATCTTACAGTTATTTCGTGTTTCTTGTATTCAATGACCTTGCGATGTTCGATTCATTCCTGAGGTATTCATCGATTTTACAAGAATTTCTTCAGATGCTTCGGGGGGACGGAACATTCGTGCGTCCGGAACTGCGCGCGGCTAAATTCGTGACGGTTTGAACGACTTCAGTCAAGTATTAGGTCTTCTCATTCGAAAGTTCGCAAGCTTTTATTCGGATAAAATGAACAGCAATCGAGATAAAAAGCTAATATTTTAGTGTTCTGTCAAGTAGGCTGCATCATTGTTAACGACTCTCTCCCAGCGTCCAGGCAGCATCTGGACACCAGGTAGCTTATTTTTTCGTCAAGTGCAGATAAAATGCTGTTGAAGTCCATTTTGGCGATCGACCAGTTGTCAAAGCGTTTGCCAATGCGACGTGTCTTCTTTTGAGCGAAGCAGTTGAAGTCGCACGGCTGGAGGTCGGGAGAATACGGCGGTTAAATCCAGGTTTCAATAACCTTTTCTTCAAAAAACTGTTGCGCAATTCGAGGTGCGTGGGGCTTAGCATTGTCATGAGCGATAATTGCCTTCTTGACGTTGCGTGCTGCCATCCAATTGCCGATATTATTGTCGAGAAACTGGCAATACACTTCAGCAGTGAAGGTCATTTCTTCAGAGCAGAGTCGCCAGAACGCCACGCCCAACGAATCCTTTGCCATGATGAGCATCCGCTTGGAACCACGTAACTTTTCATAACGAAATTCGAGAGGTTCTTCACCGGCGTTCATCCAAACCCGACGCTTGTGACTTTCGGGCTCAGTGTACAAACCCACCTATGTTTCATCTATGGCCAACGTTCGTTTCGAGAGTCGTGAGTGGCGTCGGTGGCAGAGAAGATTGTTTCTACAGGCATCNNNACGCCCAACGAATCCTTTGCCATGATGAGCATCCGCTTGGAACCACGTAACTTTTCATAACGAAAGGTTCGAGAGGTTCTTCACCGGCGTTCATCCAAACCCGACGCTTGTGACTTTCGGGCTCAGTGTACAAACCCACCTATGTTTCATCTATGGCCAACGTTCGTTTCGAGAGTCGTGAGTGGCGTCGGTGGCAGAGAAGATTGTTTCTACAGGCATCAATTCAGTTTTGGACTTGTGCTTCTGCAAGTATATGAGGTAGCCATACACACATCTTTTTGACCATCTTCGATTCTTTGGACACAATTCGGCGGCCAACGATAGTAGCAGGAATGCCGGTCTCGCGGGCAAGTTTGACAATGGTCCAGTCTCTGCGCTCAGCCATTTGACGCTTGATTTCAGCTACTCGTTTTTCGTGTGCGGAGTGAACATTGCGAGGATCATCTCGGCCTTCACTTGTCTCCGTTCTTCCTTCTTTGAACATTCGTACCCATTTCTGGCCATTACGCTTGAAGAACTCCGTCCCATCCATTTGTTGATTGAGTTCACGTTGAATTTGAGCGGCGGATTTTCCTTGTATAACGCGGTAGGTTCACCCGCTCTTATCTATAGAATTTTAGGGTACTTCTTTTCAGTTTGTCAATATTTTCTGCTGCAGCCATGATGTCGAAATCGGGTAGTATCGTAACTGACGGCACTCGCTTCTGATCAAAACACTGTCGGGGTAACAGCCTCTTTCCTAATCCCGCCATACCTCTGGATGTCTGCGAACTTTTGAATGAGATGACCTAATATTAGGGCCCAAATTTGAAGTAGAGTAGATTAGTAGGATCAGCTGATTTTATTGGCCTTCTTGACTTCAAACCTATGGCCCAATGATTGACAATAGAGTCGTCAAAATCGCCATAATAGGCGCATACCCGGACGCACGAATGTATCCATATCCGATGAGTCATATTCATTCAACCAGGAACCCGCCAAAGCGTAGAAGGTTCCACTTAAGTAATTATGTAACTTTCTATTCTACTAAGTACGTTGAGTTCAACAGCATCAATCGATGGGAAACCCAATTGCATTTAATCGCAGTCACAGAATGTCGTTTTTTTTCAATTTTCTGTTTTGCATCGAAGGAATATCCGAAGTCCTAGAAAATTTGGATCATTTTTTCCATTTGATCCATAAAATTTATTCTCGTTACGATAGATGTGACTCCGAGACAGAGTGGCTTAGAAGCGTTCCAGTTGAAGGGAAGAGTCATCGGCCGTAGGAAACTGATGATTTTTTCCTATCGAGTTCAGTCCACGTCCTTCGACAACATAATCACCCAATAATCCGTCTTTGGTACGTCATCTATCCAGTTTCACCAGCCGTCAATGTTGAAAAATTATAATCTTTTGGCTATGGAAGTTCATCGGTTTGATCAAGGAGGCCAAAGGCATGGCGTGACAATCTGTGGGGTTCGAAATAGGTTTCGTTGTCTTCTGGTAGAATCCATTTCCACTGTATCGACAGAGACGGGAGATTTGGACTGTAAATATGCATTTGGATTGAGCTAGCAGCACATAAAGGTCGAAAAAAAGCGGAAGTTCATATGAAGCGGTGACTACGCAGCAATAAAACGAGAGGGGGTGAAGAGAAAAGGAGAAAGTGTTAGAGAAAGACTGACAAGGGGAGGAGGTTGTGGGAGACGGGAAGAAATGAGAGATTGTAGAACGGCAAAGGTGTAAGGCAGTGAATTCTTTTGCAACCCAATGTTCCTATGTCTACATAAAGGATGAAAGGGGATAAAGTTTTTGACGTTAATCAATCCCGTCTGAGGGATGCGCCCCGCACTCGACTTCCATTCAGAATCGTAGTGTCGGTATGAGTACGTATGTGGCCTGTGCAATGACTTGCGGTGGCCAGGCGATGTACAAGTCAGTGCTTTTATCCTCTTACCATTAAACGAGTCCGATAACAATTAACCGATCCCGGAGGGATTGAAGGTTTGGTTATCTTAGGCGGGTATCGATCCGAGATTCGAACCCCTCACCGTGCGTGTGAGATAGTGCACCACTTGCTACTACACCCGATGTCTACATAGGTCAATCATGAGCTATACGGTGCGGCTGCGGCTGCGAAATGCTGCTTCTGGTAAGAACCCATTTGGCGAACGCTGAAAAGGTTTTTTTTTCTGAATCTATGGACAATAGGGATTAATCAAATTTTTGCAAGTATTCGCGTACAGAGTACGGTCATGTCGCTCCTTTTTTCCTATACCGATACATGTACTACAATATGAAAACTGATTCTAGGCTCACTTAATCCGTACTAATTTGTGCATGATCACTGACACAGGAGAGAGTGGGAGGAGAGGGAGCGAAGGCTCATTGTGAAGGTGGAAAATGCGTTAGATCTTACAGATCTTATAGTGAAATAAGGTATAGGGAAATGTTTAGGTTGAAAACAAGCCAGGAAGATCGGTTGCAGATAATATATGGTGCCGAAAGTTGTGCTCAGAACTGCCGGAAATCGGGGCGGTCAATATTTGTAAGGTTGCGCCCTTACCAAATCTCTCAAGTTGACTTCCCAACTAGTTTCAAACGGTTTTCTTCAAAATCTGGTCGCTTTTGTGGGTATGTAGACGTGAAGCTTTTCTTGTTGTACTGTAGCTCACACTCCCCCCTCCAGATTGTTAGCGATGGCTAAGATCTCGCTGAGAACCGTGCTCTCTTTTGAACTAGCGTACTTCAGAAATATCATTGTGGTCGAAAGACCTTACCTAGCTCAAGTCCAACACCTAACGAATAAGTTCAGAGTGGATTACTGACTTGTCCTAGAGAACCACATCTTCGAGGGTTTTAAGAGTGTGGTTAATTAATTTTCCTGACTGTGCTTCCTACGCAGCATTTAATGGAAGGCAATAGCTATAGAACGGTTCGAGATTGAACGGAGAATAATCAGTGATGATAGCATTCCTCTGCGATTTTCTAGAGAAGTTCCGTGACGTGCTCTGGTTGGTTGAGCAACGCTCGATTACTCTGGTGCTTTCCTTAATAATTACATCTAAAGGGTCCGATTCAACCATCACTGAATACGATAAGAGTGTGGGTAGTGCTGCCAATACATGAAAGGCACAGCTTACACTGAAAGTGATTTTTCAGATTTCTCTCTAGGTCCTCAGCTGAAGGGGCACGGTGGGATTGAAAAACCATCACGGCATGTCGTCATAAGTGCTCCAAATTCGGTTTGGCTGACTTGCACACCTAAAAATAGCCGTGTCATCACCGAATTGTGAAGATTGCGCCCTTCACAATTCACAATGAAGGCATTAGGACGCCGAGGAATAGTACGCTCAAATGGGAGACACCCAGACGGTTACAGACCCTGTCTCGTACAGGCCCTTTTTACTACTTTCTTCCGGAGCTTTATGTCTGTTTCAGTCCCCCGATTTTCTCCGTCGCTTCCTTCGCCATTCTTGTATCAAAACTTCCAATATTTTACTTGAGCTAGATACCTCAGCATTTTCGTAAACTTGCCTTCAACCAGTGAGACTACGCTGATGGAGATCCCTGTAAAGTGGCATGAATAAGGGTTTTCCTTACGAAAGGCTTTGCTGTTCATTGCTGAATCCTTAAGACGTCTTCTTCTGTGAAAACGAAACGGGAACCATGATCACAGCAAGCAAATAGTGCTCCCACTTGATAGAGATGGCCGAAATACATAAAGTTTTGCGATCGCGGGGGTGATAATACCTGGTTCCGAAGAACGTAATGCAACAAAGGTGTGTCTTCAACCAACCGTATGTCCCGATGTTGCTTTAAGGGAACGGGGAGCGGGTGGCTGTTCCCATTCAAGGTGATGAGAAAGGCTTATTAGCTGTCGTTCAATGTGTGACACTCGGTGTTATCATAGGCAGAAGGAGAAATTCGCGTAGTAAGATGAAAAAAGGCCACTTATGATCGCTCCTTAGAAGAACTGAAGAGCTCCTTTCATTTTTAAAATTTTGAATTGAGTACAGGCTTGCCTTTCATAACTGGTGTTTTTTTAATGAGNTAGTAAGATGAAAAAAGGCCACTTATGATCGCTCCTTAGAAGAACTGAAGAGCTCCTTTCATTTTTAAAATTTTGAATTGAGTACAGGCTTGCCTTTCAATAACTGGTGTTTTTTTAATGAGGATGCTTCAAAAAAAAAAACAGATTCTGGCATGTTCTATATGAAAGAATACAGCAATTTAACCAATCTCTGCACTCCTTAAAAGAATTTCAAAAAATTCAGTTTTGTTTATTTTATAGCTTTTCTTAGTATTCTGATAGCCTTACTCCTAGTTCATAGATTGAAAATCTTCGAAAGAAACTTCTATACAGCCTTGCAGCACGAGTTCTGATATCAGATATTTGAATATCACGAGCGTATATCTCCTGCTACCCACTGAGCCAGATGATGTAGCCCTATGTTCATTTTCAGAGTGGCCAATTGTTAGCATCCGAAGATGGCCAATACCTCTGAAAAACAAGCTCGAATGAATTCATTGCTAAATAGAAAGCGAAAAGCGGAGACCGCTAGTCAGGCTGCAGTTGAGTCTTCCTCGGGATCGTCATCAACCCCAAATGAGAGGGAGCAATCACCGACAAAACTGACGCCAGAAGAAGAGGAAAAAAGAAAAGTGGGTTGATGACGAAAGATAATCTGTAGTTGTGGCCTCTTTATTGTGCTGACAGCTATTCGAAGGAACTTTAGGCCACAGAGTTGATTCTCCGCGAAGCGAAGATGGCCAAAGAACGAGCGGAAAGGGTTGGACCTCAGGGCTGGTGAGCAATTTTCTTTTTCCAGTTTGCTTCGTTTCTCATCGTGCTCCTACGATGCTGTTATGAAAAACTCCTTGAAAACCGAGCATTGATAAGGTTTGGGAGCCCGATCATGGCTTTATTTTGAGTAGTTCAATCATGTTTATTTGGGACTGGAATCTCTATGGAATAGCATTCTTGCGACTTTCATAATAACACTTACTTCACCTTTCCGAACTGTTAAGCCTCCATCTGTGTTTTTTACTACAAGAATCAGGTTACGACCGAAGAGCCTCAACACCAACAAGCAGTTCCTCCATCGCACGCTTGCGGCTACCCTCCCAGAAAGGAAGCCGAAAAAACGGAAATCGCCCGAATAGTCACTGCAGAATATATTTTCGACTTGATCTCGTCTTTCTTACTGTTCACTTTCGGGGAATTCAAACTTATTCCTCTTTCGTGTTTGGCTAGCTGTGACTGACTTTCTGCTCTAATAAATTCCTTTTGATTTGTTCTGTCCGCAAGGCCGAGTGAACAAGGTCGTGATAAGTTTGCTTTTTGCCCTGTCGGTTCGTCGGTATATCCGCTCCTCGAAGTGTGGTTCTAACAAAAAACAAAAATGAGGAAGCGCTGCCATTTTGAGCCGATAAAGAGTTATAGAAATTTTTGTGTTCAAAGACAATTCTGAGGAAACAGGAGTAGAAATGAAACAATTCGTTATCGTTTAACTATAGAGGAAGATGTACATATATCATCAATGCAGCGCTGTATATAAGTAGTTGTTCCCTTTCAGATCATGAGTTTCCGATGCCACTTTTCCTTCCTTTGTCTGGGACGCAGTTGAAACAACACAGAGAACAAACTTGTTGACAACCTAAGCACGTGTTTGTCCGAAAGTTCCAGAAATATATTAGGTTGATGCATAATTATTGCGAATTTCTTTCGACAAGTTTTATTTGACGAGACGATAAAAATACTGAACAAAAACATGTTCAAATAATTACTCCGGAACTTATCTACCATCTACGTAAAGCACTGCATCCCATTTGCTAAATAGTCGGATTTCAAAAAGCGAAGAAGTTTTGATCCTTAGGTGCGATCCATACCTTGACATCGGCCATCAAGTCATCCAAATCGACGTGAGCTCTACTCCATTTTTAGCCATTTTTTCAGCGAACGGCTGACGAGATAATCCATGGAAGTTTCTGCTGATGAATACGGCAGATTCAGAAGCAGATCCCATTTCTTGGTTGGCTTTGACTGATTGTTCCATCGCCGAAAAGTTACTGAGATCGCGGAATGACTTGGCCACCTTCTATACTTTCTAGAAGTAAATAGTAGAGCCTAATATGCGGGATGGTTTCCGAGGTGCATTTATGTAGAGGAAATCAAGTAGATCATTTCTAGAAAAAACTCGAATCTATTATTCGAATTCTTTCATTCAAAAAAAAAGTCGCGAAAAAATCCGCAATAATCAGGCAACAGCTTAACATTATCAAGGGATCACAAAAGTAGCGAATCGTAGCATATTCGACACTGACACATGACACTTCCCAATTTGGTATCAGTTGGAATCAGAAATTCGGAAAAATGAGGAAAAGTGAGGAATGGGACAATAAATGAAATGAAGGGGTATGGAACGGGAATAAGTCTGGCCAGGGAAGACCGAAGTGGCCATTTGAAATGCACACAGCTGGATGTGTATTGGATGCTTAGTTCAAATCTGCTTTCCAAATTTGCCGAGCATCTCTCTGAACGGAACATGAGGGTGGTTCCAGGGAGCTTAATATAAGAAAACCTAAATTACATGTACCTGGATGTACCTCGATTCTCAACGGTGGCTTGGTGTAGTGGTAAGCGCGGTGCTTCATGTGCGAGAGACTAGGGTCGGCTGTTGTGGGGGACAGAATTTTTGCATCACATAGAATTTTTCTCTTGAGGACTAGAAAATACACTCATGGTGATTTTATCACCATTTATCACGTTTTATGTCCTTTTAATGCATTTGCTGGTATTTATCCACATAAAGCAATACTTCAGTTTTACTCGCATGCCCATGCACTCTATTTTCACAGTGGGATAATTTTCAACATTTCATGAACAATTGTGATACTCTAACACGAAATGCTTGAAACAAAAAAGCTTTTCACAATGGGAGCAATGGATGAAAAAGAATTCGTCTCACAGCTTTGAAAAAGAGCTTCACAATCACTTACCATTGTGTAGGCTTCTCAAAATCACCCGGGTGAGTGCTTAAGTATGCCATGAATGAAAGAGAAATTTCCGACAGTACAGAACTGGAAGTAGACAAGCGATAGTAAGCAAAAAATAGAGTCTCGGGGGTACAGGCTAAAGTTGAGATCATGAGCAACTACATATGAGGTGATGCGTTCAATCATTTTTTAAAAAGCAAGTTTCAAAATGGAAGAAGAAATGAACATCTAGTGGCTTGAATGTAATTCTGAAAGAATACGTGAACATTTGTCAAAATTTTTGGTCGGGTGGTTCGTTTCGCCTCTCACTGTGTACAAGCCTCGTAAATATTTAGTACGAGCAGGGATGTTCATTACCTTCACCTGCTTTTGTGGAGGTGAGACGGACCACGCACAATCGCATCCAGCCTAGCATCAACTCTTTGCCCATCATATGCGTTTTACTCGCCCGGACCTCCAAATTTTATTTTGCGCACGGTAGAATCCTCTACTCGGGAATTCTCCAGTAGCTCCCTGTCAAAGCCCGGTTGAGAAACCTAGCGTAATGCGAAATATTTTGTATAGCGAACCAGAATCACCACGGATACCTTTTGACCTAGGTGACAATCAGCAAAAAGGCAGGACAGAACGGTGAACGAATGAGTCGTGGCAGGAACAGACTGCACGACTCTTTCTACTCTCTTCGAGCCATTTCCTGCTAACGATCTCTCTGTATTCATTTACTTCATGAAACCACTTTGGTCAGCGTTACGCACTGCTCCTAATGGCCATCTTTCCACCTCTAGAAACTGGCAATGTTGGCTCAACATAGTGTCCCCGGAATAGGAGACAACTCTAGAGAAATGGGCTGATGATCTAAATCCTACCTTTCTCCACTTCGATCACAAAATTTTGAGCTTCCGAAGAAATACGCTCCCTGTCCATGGAACTCCTTCTAGAGGAGAAGGTGGTGATACATATGGAAACCAATCCACACCTTTTGAATTGTTGGATCCAGCGGTGTCCAGATTTGAATCCTGCGGCTAATGACCTTTCCTTGTTTATCCTCAAAGCCATTTGACGTACATCGCAATCATGCAACGCCACCCTCAGGTCAGGCTTTGAGGTATTTTCTTCCTTCAAAAGGTCAGCCAACGTTCGCAAAACTTTCAGACGACTCTCGCGGACCTCACCTATTTTAAGATGCCCATGAGTTATTACGAAATGAGAAATGCTTTCCAACGTTACGGCTCACCTTCCCTCTCTTTCCCCCAACTTCAAGAGGTGTTAATCGTTTCGTATGAAGCGAAAAGAGTTCATAGACATAGGCGGACGACTTCCTTTAGCGCTCGAATGGTAAAACATGGTGGCGCGTTCCACCTAGATCACAATAATGCCACCTTACAGACAATTGTGCCGAGGATAAAGAACGAATACCTGTTCTTCAGAGACCTCAATTTCACCGAATACAAACGATCCTCTGGATGAACTTGGTGTTTCTTCATCGTCGACATCCCAGAGCGGGTCAGCCTCTTCTTCTATGCATTGCCTTCTTCGCACACAATATTGAGGTCGTGGTAGACTGCATCTCGTGAGATAGCGAGAAAACATCAATTTCTTCTCTTTCCTAGTTGGGGCGCGATCTACAACACAAGAACCGAAGTTTTTCAATTTGTGCGACATATCCAACGGTGGACAGAACATACTGCTCGTATGACATTGTCTCATCTGCTCATCTCTTCTATACATGCCACGTTTGCCACGCAGCAAAAGTGGCGAATGTGTAGAAGAACCCCGTCATTTGTAGAAATTGAATGATAGCGCCAATTGTGAATGGGCGGTAGGAAGAGAAGTATCAGCAAAAGCATCAAAAGAAAACGATATGAAACGTGATAAAATCACCATGAAAGTATTTTCTAGTCCTTAAGGGAAAAATTCTATATAGTGAAAAAATTCCGCCTCCCACAAAAAACGAACCCAAGCCTCTCGCACATGAAGCGTCACGCCTACCACTACACCAAGCCGCCGTTGAGTACCGAGGTATATCTATGTAATTTAAATTTTCTTATGTTAAGCTCCCTGAAACCACCCTCATGTTCCGTTCAGAGAGATGCTCGGCAAATTTGAAAAGCAGACTTGAACTCAGCACCCGAAAACGTATTCAGCAGTATAGGCCTCATTTTAAATGGCCACTTCGGCTTGGGATCCTTCCCTGGTAAGATAAGTTTATGTACGACTGAGATCACTTCGCGTCTAGGATCTTAGTTGTGAGAGTGATGACAGTAAGTCAGTGAGATTTCAAAAGAAACTTAGGGTTGTGGACAGGAGAATTTCTAACATGTGCGGCATCAATAGTTTTCTTGCCATGTAGACTAGTAAAATACAGTAGACTCAAAAATGAAATTCGTGTTCAATTCATCAGAGAAGAGCAGGGTCCATCAGGAGCAAATCGCATCCAAATTGAGGAGTTTTGCATAATGATGTCCAACTACGTTAAGAACAAAACCATCTTAGTTGTTTAACTATTCATTTTACGGTTCTTTTTGTTAGGAGAATTAGGTTTCTCTACACATTGACTGGAAATTTTTTCGTTGGAACTTCTTTTACCTTGCATGGTGATTAAACTCTTCAAACCAAAGGCATTGAAAATTTTACGTTAAAAAACTAATTTTCTTGAAGTTTCACTTTCTCATCATTTTTATCATTCACCGTCACTCTCATAACCAAGATAAGGTTATGTAGTATTGAGGAGAGGCGCGTAATTAAGGTAAGTTTAGGTACGACTTCGCCACTATTGTCACTTCGCACCTAGACGCGAAGTGATCTCGTTGGTACCCAAGTTCCACACCCAAAATGTGGGAGACCAAACCTCGATGGGCGGGACGTTCTTGCGAGAGGCGGCACTTTTACATATGAATATTCATCACTCGATTACATCATAGACTGGAGGCCAGGAAGCAAGTTAAGGAGATAAGTAGGGTGTCGCAGCGTACACTGAGCAAATGAATGTTTATGCATGGTGTAGAATGTTTATGCAGAGGTCACTATCACTGTCTTAACACGTATGGTTGCTGTCCTGACACATATCGGTGGCTATCTTGACAACTATCGGTGGCCCACTTTCCACGTTAAAACACGTCCTCTTCATCCCATACCAGCCTGTCTACTTGTTTCCACACGTCATCAGACAAGAGTTCTTCACTATTGGAATGGATAATTATTAATCTGAATAAAAATAAAGGACACAGTAACTCTAAACAAGGTGAGTAGAAGAATGCTCGTATTTACTAAGCTCTCTCCTTTCTCTTTACCTACGGTCACGTCGGTGACACTCCCCCTGACCATGGTATTGCTAGTTAGATGGCACGCGGGGTCCGTACTATTCCTTCAAATTTTCCAGTTAGTGTTCGATTTCCTCGACTTCCTTGTAGCATTATTGGATTTCTTCTGGCAATGTACAGAGCGCTTTACTATGCCTCTGAGCCGCCGTACATGCACTGTCTTATTTCATTTCGAGAGTGCTCTGTGCTGAGTCCAAATGAAGTCGCGTTTCTGCATCGCGCTCGTTTCATTCGGGATTTTGCGCTGACTTATGTAGGACAACTGTTTGAATAATGTCTTCCTTTCGCTAGGCAGAAGGAACAAGCCAATTATCGCTCCTGAAGTTTCATTGGATTTATCCTTGGTTCTGGCACACTTTGGTTTTTTCTCAAGTACTTTTTGAGACGCGCTTCCAATACCAGTTTCTTCTGATGCCCGAGATGCCTCATTTGATCTGTGCTGTCATCGTCAGATAATTATGAAAGAGTATTGATGGAGTCATCGTGACACTTGGTCTCTTTATAAACGTTTTCCAAATCAAGAAGGTCTTCTTCGAGTTCCTCGGTATTTACCTCTTTTGGCTTCGATTTCTGCTCTGCATGCTCTGAATGCTTTGTATGCTCTAGATGCTATATATGCTCTTGCTCCTCTTGATCGGAGTTGGTTCTTGTTGCAATGCTTTTTATTTTTTTTTCAATTTTTCACACAGCTTTTTCATGCTCTCTCTTTGATTGTCCATTTCCGTTTGTAGTTCCATATGCTTGACATGGATCTCTCTTTTTAAGTCCGTTATCATTTCTTTCATTTGATCGAAGGTAGAAATGCGATTTTCCTTTTCTTCTTGGCGCTTTGCTTCTTCGATTTCATTCTGTACTTGAAGTCTGAAATACTTCAGGAATTCGAGCTCTTTTCGAATAAAGTCAGTGGTATGATTTGGCTCCAACAGAACACCTTGCTCATCATCTCAAAAAAGTTCCTCCGAGAAAACATTATTGCTCCGTATGACAAAATAAGAATACTGTAATTTCGTAAGCCATGGACAATTTTTCGGCTGTGCTTCGAATTCTTTCAGCATCGAGGTCCACTTCGAGACATATTCTTTAGAGATGACTTCTGTAGAGTGCTGCTTCCCAATTGCCAAAAAAATGGGTCTTCCTGCTACTTACGCAATACGCTCCTCAGACGACGTAATACTGGAGCTCTGTTATCTGCTAGATACTCATGTGTCTCTTTGAATGGAAGCCGAACAACATAGCCGATATCACATTTTTCGATAGCGCTCGTGAATTTTTTCAGTACTTGCTCGTTGATATGAGCACTTTCTTCATCTTTTGGGCCACTGTACTCTTGCTCTATTGCTTGAGTCTGCACCTTCCAGTGAGTTTCCCAGGGTTCGCTTTCATTCTCTAATTCTATTGTATGCACAGTTGAATGTAAATGTTGCTCTCCGTTCGGGCGCTCGCCAAAGACCATGTACCCTACTCGTGTGGGTACAAGTATGAGCCCATCCTGAAGTGGCGCCCTTCCAAGGCTGGTCACATCCGATCAGGATCTGGTGGGGGAGGGGATGGAGAGCTCCATGATTCGGAATACTCAATTTGTATGCTTCTTCTGTATGAATAGCAGATCTTCTTTTTAAAGTTCCTCTCCAGTGGAACTTCTTGTCAGTCAGGTTAGTATGCGTGAAAGAGCCGTAGTTTGTGCTGTTCTCCCTCAGAGTCCCATATCTTTAAGCATGTATCGATGCACTGAACCTCCTTTGCAGTACTGCACCGGAAATCCGAAGTTTCACGGTGACAACACCATGGCTTGCCAATTGGAGCTCATCGGCCAACTTGGCATCAATACAACTACGATCAGCACCTGCATCTAACAGAACCTGCAGTGTAACGGGTTTTCGTGTTCCTGGATGTAAGGTGCGTAGGGTCCCAGTCAAAAGGAATATCCCGCTATGAATTCTTTTCCTGTGTCTTCAGCCCTCAAAACCGTGAGGTCAGAAGTTTGTTGGGTTTCTATCTGTGCGTCCCTTTCTTCACAGAGCGCGAAATTCTGCTGAACTCGCGCTGGCTTTGGATTCAACTCCTTTTTCCGGTCGGTGTTCGACACCGGTGCGGGGGAGGTAGGAGTCTAGTTTCGAAGCATGTTGAAGTGTGATGCTTTTTCCACAATGCACGCACCTTTGCTTTTGCCTTCGACAAATTTATGCATTTTTGATCCACAACCAATGCAGCGGATGGTCTTTTTCAAGTGCTTTAAGCGGGCTTTTGGAGAAGCAATTTTGGCACAGTCTGTTGACCAATGCTCCTTACTATTATAACAGAAGCAACATGGACGTCGTAACTTCTCTCGGGGTTGCGGTTTTACTGCTCCTTGTATTGGCAGTTCCATATTCCCAAATTTTTTTGGCTTCTGCCTTTCAATCTCCTCCTCCTCTTTTAAGACTTGATCTAGAGTGGTCGTGAGTTTGCTCAGTGTCCAACTCTATTTTGAAACTAGTGGAACCTTTTCTTGGAGGGTATTCCTTTGGATTGCTTTTGTGAATTTTGAAAGAATTTTCGATAGAAGCCACAGACTATCAAGAGATTCACCTTTGCTCACAAGCTGAGCTGTGGTAGTAGATAGGTGGGCGTGAGGTTCGCTCTGATCCTTCAATCGTGTGCACTTGGAGTTTTATCGTTCTAATTGACGGTGTAAGCTGGTAATTATTCTTTGATGGTCGCTATATCTTTCTTTCAGATGGGTTACTGCTAAATTGTAGTTGGCTGCGGTTACTTGGAATCTGGAAGGGAATGCAAAGTTGTGTTGAATATTCCCCAAAAGCTTTCCCATTCTCAGTTTCTTTCCTTGAACACTGGCAGCGGTATTCTATACGCAATGGAAGTTCCACCGAAGCTGGTGGTTTGCTATTTTTGGATTGATTACCACTCCAAAGAATGATCCATTGCTTCCTGCACCCCTTTCTAAGCAACTGCGAGATGCTAACTGATCTCCAATAACTTCGAGCTTTACAAGCAAGCTTGTAGCTCTCGAGATTGCTTCCAATGCGTTGTTGATGTATTCAAAAATTTAGCTTTCTTCTTCATCTTCGAGAGGATTTTGAAATTAGCAACTGCATAAGTTAGAGCAAAAAGAGCATTTTCGAACGTTGCTTGAAGCGTTTTGAGTACTAACTTAGCAGTTTGAACTTCAGTTAAACTAACTTCATATGCTCTCGGCTCTTCTAGATTTACCGCATTTACGCGAGCTGAACGCTTGTTCATGCACTGGTACAGTGCTTCAGAATGCCTGGTTAACGCTGCTTTTTCGTTTTTGAAGATTTGCCATTGGTACTTAGATTGGCTTTTTGCAAAGTAAAACAGATTGCACTGCATGAATAACGCTTCAAGTTTCAACGCTTCTAAGAGCTAGGCAGAAAAGAAAAAGAAACTAGTACCTGGCTTAGGCTACTTTGATGCTCCCTTACACTACAACATTTGAAAGAAGTCAACTTTCTTGAGTCGCACCTGCTTTTTTGATGAGGTTGCTCTTCAGCTTTAAACCAACCCAGTTGATGCTGCTTCCCTAATTAGGTTGCTCTTCAGTTTCGAACAAATCAAAATGATGCTCTTCTTATTCTTCAGCTCGATAAATATAGCCGATGCACCACTTGTCGGAGCGTACACTGAGCAAATGAATGTTTATCTATGGTGCAGGTCTATATAAAGGTCACTGTCACTGTCTTAACACGCATGGTTTCTGTCTTGACACGTATCGATGGCAGCCTTGACAAGTATCGGTGGTTCACTTTTATCAAGTTATAGGCTGGCCGTGTCTATACCTGAATGTGTAGCGAACTTAGGAATACTTCTGTAGAGAAGAGTATGTATTTATATCAGTTTATTAACAAGTAAATAAGAAAGGGAGAATACAAGAGAGGGACAGTGGGGAGAGGATTGGACGAGAGGGCAGGTAGTAGCCTAAACAAAGGGTCGGGCTAAGAAGACATCTGATGGGATGACGAGGTGCGTCGGCGAAGCTGATGAAACCCTGGCGGCTGTCTCGAGCTGGCGCATGACTCAGCATAGCTGACTCAACATCTCCATTCTTTACAGAAAACTCGTCCTCGAGCTTTGAAGACCGATCCGTATGATGTTAAGCTTTTGATGAGAGATATGTGCGGACATAGAGGAAAACTATGAGTCAGCAAATATTTGCGAGAACATTGAACTGCTAAACGAGACAAGATGTTGATACAGGATACAGGCTCCCCTCACAAAAGGCCAGTGTGCCACTCGTCTTCGAGTTTGAACATATGAGAATTACGTGGTGATGGATATAGGTGCGGAGGAAATGTAATATATGTGGTAGCAGATTACATCAGTGGTGCTATTTCAGTTATGCTCATACAATATAGTTTATGTTGGGTGACAGTGGGTTTAATATCAGTTATACAATATGGTTTTCACTGTTAAAAGACAGCATGGTGAATATGATCAATATGATACTAAGATGTTACAATACTAATAAGTTGCGTTTGAATAAACATATATTCCACTTGCACATGATAGTCAACTTTTGCACAATCTTAATTATTAGTCCGGTTAAGGTATACTAATGGTAGACTAGTAAGGTTGACGTAGCGTATATTAGTCTTGGTGGGATCAGACTAATATACGGACAAGTGGAAATACTATGATACGAAAACTAGTCTTGGCACTGCACACTTTTTGGTCGACTAGTATAAGTGCGTAATTTTGATATTACAACGAAAGAAGAATGCTGTGCATGGTTTCCTCGAACCGCCCATTCAGGGAAATGTGTTGGTAAGAAGATGTGAAGTTAAAACAGGAATTTTAACTTACCCAATGTTGTGTTCCCGCCGTGGGAACAAATGCTGTAGCTGAATCATAATAGTCTGCTGAGCTTTGCCCTTGCTGCTTCTCCTGAAGGCGATGAGACGTCGTATTATTGGTTGTTCAATGCTACTCGATGCTTCTATATTATAATCAAATGAATGTGTGATGTTGGTATTAGAAATTTCAAGTGGCATCGAACGAGGACAATACAGTTTCAAACAGTCAATATGAACTGCTTGTCGCGCTGGGCGACCTACAAGGGACCTATTTGGACGCGGAGCTATTCCATGCCGTTATGCTAAACGACACTACGGTATTGTTGTGGTAAAGTAATAGTTAGATAGACGGTGAATTATTATTTGTAGCCTCCGCGCTGTATAATGTGCCCACCGCGCGCAGTGTCAATGAGTTTGCTAATTGGTGAGCACCAAACAAGTGACAGATGAAGAAGGAATCTCTGCAAGGCAAACGTGGATTTTGCGAAGCGAAACCGCACCCTGAAGGAGCGGCTGGACGTCGTCTAAAAGCTGGTTGTCCTGATGGAAAAGGAAGAATAGGAAGTGAGAGGAGAAAAATTATTGCAATGTGTTTTAGTCGGTGACCTTTTTGAATTTAAGCACTCGAGAATGCTCCACAGAAATTTATAGCGGCGTGAGCTTGTTGTCGTCCAACCGAACTTCAAAGCTAGTTGGGAGAAAGTGAAGAGAATGAAGACTTCAAGCGATTCTGATGAACCAGATACTCAATAATTGTTTTGCAAGCTTAAGTTGTGTCGATTTATGTTGCATAAATGGATGTAGTAAAGTGATCACATCGGGAACCAGCCGATGATATGTCACAATTGTGCAACTGGTTGGGTGAATGGGTATTTGTTCTGGGATGATGCTCTAAGTGGAAAAAATCGTTCCTCATGGAGACTTGGGTAGTTACCGTATGCTGGATTTCTATTTGATGTTAGGTGCGCGCATAATTAGTAGGTTTCCAGCGAGTGAGTGTCAATTACTAATGAGTGCAACTGTTGCCGGTTGATCCTCGCCGACAATCCGTGAATGATTGACAGGATACTAATTGTATCTTTGAACCAAAGTGGGAGGGTCGGTGATTTGTGGATTCTCGGCTTGGTGTGATCTGTGAACAGCCGGTTGGCTGTTGTTAGATGCTACACCATGTAAATTATGAGATTGAGCAGCGCGACCGCGATGTTAAGGTTAGCTGATTGGTCTATTGCATCTCATGAACAACAGAGACTTTTTTTCGAGAAAGACAGAGAGAGCTGAGTGGCGACTGGGTCCCTTATGTGATAATATAAATCATTATTACTAGTTTTAAAATCCTGTGTTGGGTTATTTGTGGACGTCCCAATAATACATCCTGAGTTGTGGGATCTGGGAGGTTAACTAAATGTGCCACGCGATTGTGACACGTTTATCTCGATTTTAGGGGTAAAAAACAAAATTTCCTAGTACCAACTACAGAGTTAGATAGACGTGATAGGCAGTTTCGAATAAAGGGGACCGTCGCCAGGACCGAACTTTACTGATCTTTTTACAATCAGTAAAGAATTGCTTACGAGCACTATATTTTTAACCCCTAAATAATTGTATACGCGACCGTATACTTTACCATGTTGTTTCCCAATATTAGGAAAAAGTATGATGGCCGAAGTATGTTATTTGAAAAGTCTAATTTTCTATTACTGAGTTAAATATGATCGAACTTACTGTACTTCGTCATCATCTTGTCCAAGTAAATGTTGTCTTGAATATTCCTGAATATTGCGACGACATGTGCACGTGGTCGAGCGAATAGGACATGTGGGAAGGAGGAAGGGGAGGGGGAGGGGGG